CACCCCACAGAGCTGCAGAAGGCGAAGGAGAAAGCCCAGCGCAGCGGGAGCCTGGTGGAAGAGGCCGCGGTTTGTAACCAGCTCGGCGAGATTTTGGCAAGCCATGGTGCGTCCTCGCGGCTCCGGCCTCCGCCCCCACAATGGGGGTACGTGGGAAGCCCCCCCCCGCCCCTCTGACAACCCCCCTCCATCACGATTGCCGGCAGGACGCTATGAGGAGGCTCTGGAGGAGCATCGGCAGGAGCTGCAGCTGCTGGAGGGAGCCGGGGACAGGATCGGCTGCGCTGTGGCTCACCGCAAGATCGGCGAGCGCCTGGCTGAGCTGGAGAACTACGAGGCGGCGCTGAAGGTGGGGTTCCAGTCCTTGGGGGGAGCTCTGCAGGGGGAGGGGAGGGACTCAGGCTTCTCCCCTTCCCCCCAGCACCAACACCAGCACCTGGAGCTGGCCCGGTCCCTCTCGGACGACACGGAACAACAACGAGCCTGGGCCACCATCGGCCGGACGTACATGTTCATCGCCGACAGCCGCTCGCCGGGGGAGGAGGCAGCGGTGCCGGCACTGCGCGAGGCCGAACGGGCTTTCCGCACCAGCCTGGCTATTGTGGAGGAGAAACTGGAAGGTGAGGCTGCGCCGGGCAGTCTCAGAAGGACGTCTCGGTCCCGGGGGAGCTTTGTCAGCTCCCGGAGCCACCGTTTTTTCACCAGGAGCCGTGCCGAACCGGGAGCTGACGGAGATGAGGACCCGGCTCTACCTCAATTTGGGTTTGGTCTACGACAGCCTGAAGGAACCAGCCAAGTGCGACCACTACATCAAGAAAAGCATCTTCCTCTCTGAGTAAGGACCGGCGGGGCGGGTAGGAGCCGTCCAGCAGCGGGTTCAGGGGGGAACGCGGCAGCGACGGCGGTTCCGTTTGCAGGCAGGGACAGCTTTACGAAGATCTCTACCGCGCTTACTTCAACCTGGGGAACATCCACCTGCGGGAGGGCGAACACTCCGGGGCCCTGCGCTGCCTCGCCCGGGCGCGTGATTGCGCCCGCAAGATGAAGGAGAAGGGGATGGAGAGCGAATGCTGCGGCAGCACGGCCCAGGTGGGGGCTGGGGAAGGGGGGTAGGGGCGGCTCCGGACCCCTCCCCGTGTTCCCCTGGGGTTTTGTTGTCCCTCTGACGGGTGTCCTCGCTGTCACCCAGGTCCTGCTGAGTTTGGGTGACTTCGCGGCCGCCAAGCGCTCGCTGAAGCAAGCCTACGTGCTGGGCTCGCGGCAACCCTGGCAGCGAGACCTCATCCGCTCCAACCTCCGCTACGGTGAGCCGGCGACAGTGATGTCCCCAGGGGAGGGACGACGGTCCAGGGGGCTGCTGAACCCCTCCCAGCCCTCCTCTATCCCGCCCTGTCCCCTTCTGTGCTGCTGCGGGTCAGGGCTGGGAGGACACAGACGGGTCCCCGGGTGACACC